TAATAATGGAAAATAATTTTTCCCTGGGAGCTTAGACTCCATTACAATTTTAATTTGTCACGGTGTTCAAATTTGGTCAATGTTAGAAATTTATCTGTCCTCGTTTTCAGATCACCATACTAACTCTTAACTGCTTTGAGAAATGTTGCCACCGCATCATATAATATAAATTGCTGCTCTTTTCAGCTGTTTTCTTTTTCTTTTCTTAGTTACTTCACTGCGTTCCTTTACGAGCCTTCCAAAAAATCTCTATGAAAAAAGAAAAAAAGATAGTTTTTAATCTAAACTATGTGCTGTAACCGTTCAGGCTCTGATGAAATCCACCATGAGCTTGTATCAAGGCAGGAGGCACACAGAAGAATCATATGGTCATGTTCTTGGAACCCATATGGTCATGAGTTTGCAACAGGCTCTAGGGATAAGACTGTGAAGATATGGGCTGTGACAGCTGATTCTTCAATTAAGCAGCTAACAACTTTGTCACAGTTCAAATCTAGTGTCACCGCCTTATCATGGGTCGGTCTTGATCCTGAGAGCAATGGACTCCTAGCAGTTGGAATGGAGAGTGGCCTCCTTGAGTTGTGGAGTTTGTCCATCAAAAGAACAGATGGTGTTTGCTCAAATGTAGCCGCTTCGGTTGTTATACGGCTCGACCCATTTGTGTGCCATGTTTCCTCGGTCAACCGATTGTCATGGAGGGAACCGGAGAAGAGCGAAGAGTGCAGGAAGCTGCAGCTTGCTTCCTGTGGAGCTGATCACAGTGTTAGAGTGTTTGAGGTAAATGTTTCTGCATGAAAACAAAGATATCTTTGTATTATAGGTTGAAATATTGCTGTTTATTGTACATTTTGATCAGTTTCAATTTTGCCCCATCAGCAATTATAGCCCTTACTAAGCTCATCTCAGAGGTTAAAATATACTCTTTTTTCCCAGTTGTGTTTGGGTTGTTAATCTGTGAATTTATTTTCATTTTCATTTCTGCACTCATTTCTTGTCTCGTCACTTCTAATCATCAAAAAATTTAGTCAATAGATATGTCGATATCTTACACAGAATTGATCACATCGCAATGATTAAAGTATTAGTGAGATTTAAATCAATTTTTGGTTAAAATTTATGTCAAAATCAAATCAAATCGCACTACTTTTTTGTTTTGAACTATGCAAAATTGAATCTCAGTTGACTTCATTGCCAGATTCACATTGCTTGTAATGTTAGATTCCGAAGGACAGGTTATGCTTTACGTTGAGAGTTCTCAATTGCGATGTATCGAAACACTTCTTTGACAATCTCCATCCACTTAGAAAAATTCAAAGACAAACCAAGTAGATATTATTAACTAAGCAAAGCTTAATTCTTCCTAATGGGTGCAATTAGCTTGTTTTCAAATCTTGCCAACTATAATAAATAATCGTTGTCACGGATGATCCAAGCAATGAGTCGAGTCAACTTATTAAAGTATATCTTTATATGAATGAATAGTCAAAATGAAACAAGAGCTCTACCAAATGGCCAAATGATTTTCAATTTTCTAAGAAAGTTGGGTTGGCCAATCAACAAGAAGAAATCAAGTCCTAATAGAATAGATGGCCAAACCAATGATCATCGGTGCTTTACGAGTCTAATATTGGGGCGAAGCACCTTGTCTGCGCAAATATTAATTGCCTTTTGAATAATGCTTTCCTGCGTGGATCCTGCGTTCCATATATTGGATTTTAGAAATAAATAATCCCGTAAGTCAAAATTTATATCATTATTCTTTGGTGGCTTGACGTCTATTCTATTATATGCATCAACTTGCGAGGAGAAATTTCAAACAGTAAAAAAAAACTTTGGTATAAGATTTTGTCTGGCTTTGGACAAAAACTAGTGGAATTCCCAATTCAGAGATGGAAATTCGATTATGCCCTTGGATTTGATTTGAGCATCATTTCGCCAATGGCCTGAGAAAAATCTGCACAGGTTTCAAATCTTGTTAAAAAAAAAATGCGATCGGTTCAAAATATTGTATGGAAGCAATTATAGAGGAGTTTTAAAAGGAGAAATTGATGACAATGCATGGCAACGGCTTTAGACAAAGAAGATTAGCCGAAACCCACGTGGTAAACATGATTATCTGAGTCATAATCCTGCAAACTGTCCCCATCCCCAAAACCAAAAACAAACCTCGTACGTAATGTGAGAAAATTTTACACCAAAAACAGAACCCAACATTTGTATATAATAAGACAATCTGGAAAGGAATCCGAGCCCTGAAATAAGCAGATAATCACATGAAATTTATGGCATGAGAGTACAGATGGCACATGCAAATTTTAGACTTCAAAGATGTGGTTTATGCCTGGCGGAATTCCCAAGCTGAATTAGTTGATAATCTCGCCAAAGGCAAGACCTCAGTCCAATAATAATTGTTTGAAATGAGATCTTGCCCAGGAAATCAACTTTGACTGGATTCTGATGTCATTTTAATGAGAAAAAAATAAATGAGATGTTCCAAGTTAGAAATATGTGCATTAATTAGATTCCAACTTTACAGCTAGCGAAATCAAACAGGTACCTGCCACAGGGTATGCGGAAGGAAGGAACAGAATGGGAAGGAAGTTGAACAGCTTTCAAAGAACATAGAGCAGCCTTACTCACCAAGTTTACCACAAAAGACTGCAAGATATCCATGGAGACAAGCCGGTGGTGAACACACTTGTGAAGAGGATTATGCACCAAGCTATGGAACATGAGCCATAGCCTTCCAAAGGATTCGAGCAAGTAGCCTTCAGATACGATCTCGTGCTGAAAGGGAAACCTGAGGTTTTGAACATTAGCAACAATGGATCTATGTGAACTCAATCAGAATACAATACAAGTTTTCAGACAGAAAACGTCGAGGTGAAGCGACTATCTGCCAGGAAAGGAGCAAATGCGGGAGACAACAAGCAAATGAGGCAGGCAGAGAGACCAGTTAGACGTGGAAAATACTTGTACAGAAATTAGAAAAAATAAAACCAACCATATATGATCGCAGCAGAAATAATAACCAAAAATGTAGGAGAAACAAGATTGATGCAAAAACTCTTGCTAATTCTATAACACATTGACTGCACAAACACACCATGTTTGAGTTCAGAACTTTTACAGTATAACTATAATCTCCAGACCACCTTTTCATTTTCTATGACAATTAACAAATAATATGACACACGAACCAGAAGACAACAACAATTACTTATTATCTCTATCTCAGATACATGCACAAACCAATAGATACCAATAACAAGACAGACAATAAAATAGAAAATTGTAAACAAAACCAAATACTTTATTCCAAAATTGTTTCTTCTTTCTGGACAGACTATAATGGTTGTGAAGTTCTCATCTGCTGCTTGACGTTCTCAGTGGGAAGCTGAGCAGAATTTTCAGGTAGCATTACAGCAGCTGCTGGCATGGCTTGGTACTGAGAAGGTGCTATAGGCTGGGTATAGTACATCTGTGAATGAGCAGGGTCGGAAAATTCATAGGCATAATTTGCAGTAGCAGATGTAGGTGGAACAGACTGGGATGGATGCTGAATATGAGAGTAACCCTGGTTGTAGCCAACATATTGTTGCTGATGCTGACTTGTGGGAACCTGAACTAAAGACTGAGCAGCAGTAGTTGTCTGTTTGTATGCATTGACGCCCATTTCAGTTTTTGCTATAGGGGCATTTCTCATGGGGTTGTATGCTGTAGTTGTAACCAAAGCTGGACTGGGAGGGGTTTGGGGCCGGCCAGGAGGAACGGCAGTGGCAGCCTCACCG